GGGCTACAGGGTTACAGTTAAGAGTTTAAGGTTATCCAAGTGAAGGAGAGCAGCCAATATAACAGTATAACAGACAGGTGGAGGTCTCTGAATGTAAAGAGGGGTCTGGACTGACGGGAGGGTAACACAGACCTTCTCGGGGTAGACCCCGGCCCGGATCAGAGACGCCCTCCAGCTGTCCAGCTCCTCCTGAGAGTTACAGGCCAGCTCCAGGCATCTGTAGTCCTTATACACGTTCCTGCAGCGCAGTGTGGGAACATACACAGCCGTTACAAATCAGCTCTCACATTCTCATGAAATAAATACAGATCTAAAGTTCTACACAAACGGCTTGATTGTATGGAAAAAGTCATATCTGAAATGAATTCAGCTGTTGGGAAAGAACTGCTTCTGATGAACAATGACAGGTTTTTGTGAACTTACTGAAACATTATCTGGAGTCTACCATCAGATTATTAAATCTTTTAGAAAATGCAGCAGATGATCAGATGTTTGTGTCTTTATGGAAGTTTAAGAGAGTTTTTCACGGACTCTCTTCTTGAGTTAAATATCAGACAGACAAACCGGGAGCATTAAAGAATGTTTTAATTCTTATAATTCTTCCTTTTATTGCAAAATATCAGAATAACAACCTGTTCTTTCATTTCCTCTACTGGAATGAATCCGTTGTAAACATGTTTACTTCCTGTTAGTTTAATACAGTAAATGGTAAATGAACTGTACTTGTATAGAACCTTTCTACCCAATCAGGACACTCAAAGCTCTTCACACTACAACTGTGTCCTCATTTATCCATTCACACAGCACTCTATTAGATCTCTACAAAGCTAACRTGTACAATCATCTATGGAGACTAATCAGTGTCAATCACATCCATACACTGATGGGACACACCAGAGGCATTGGGGCTGAAGTGTCTTGCCCAAGAACATAACGGAGACAGCTGGATGGTGGATCAAACCGGTGACCTTCCAGATCCAGGACAACTCCCCTAACCACTCCCCTAACGACCGTGGCAGACAACTGATACAGTCTGACCACTGGTTCAGAAGATATTTTGCTAACAGTCAGACACACAATATGGCCAAATAAATAAGATCTCCTCAATCCAAACTCCAAAATCAAATATTTATTAAGAAGGGAAACTTTGTCTAAATTCATGCATTTAAACAAAATCAATTCCCGTCCGTCCGTCCGTCTTCTGTCTCTTACCCAGGGTCAGGTCTCGGGGGCAGCAGTCTCAGCAGAGACCCAGACTTCCCTCTCTCCAGACACTTGGACCAGCTCCTCTGGGGGAATCCCAAGGTGTTCCCAGGCTGAGAAACATAGTCCCTCCAGCGTGTCCGAGCTTCTCAGCC